GTTATTTTAATATTTATATTTTATATTCTAAGAATGTAAAAAAAAATCCAGTTTCCTTGTCGTGATTGATACCGTTTGCATGGTATGGTACCATTGGTTGATAACATTTGCCTATATTATAGTAACATATATTATTATTAAATATTATACAAACTGTCACTCAGTGTTTTAATTTGTGCTCTACTTCTATCTGAGTATGAAATGTTTATTTTTGCAGCTTTGTTTGGTGACGCTAGTGAAATCACACAACATGATATACATTTGTTGCTAAAGAAAGCCTGTTATATTTCCAAATAAAAAGTATTTTAATGTCGTAAAAATTTAAATAGATGGATAATGTGAAATGATCATTGTGTGTGAAAGTGAAGAATGATTTCTGAATGTTTCAGGTGATTCTCAGGCGAATGGACGGTGAAGTGAATTTCTTCAGGCCATGGGAGAGTTATAAAAAGGGTTTTGGTAATAAAGAAGGCGAATACTGGCTGGGTGAGTGTTTTGTGACATTTTGGGCTACAAAAGAGAGAAAAAAATAAACAATCAGGCACATTGAAAACTTGGACATTTAATCAGGACTGCAGTATAAATGCAGATTTATATTTGTTCTTTGATTTACTAAACCAGTTTCCTTTCATGTTTTCAACAGGTTTAGAGTTTATGCACCAGCTGACCAGCATGTATCAGTATAAACTTAGAATAGATTTGGAGGACTTTGAGGGGAAGAAGGCTTATTCTCTGTACGAGTCTTTCTCTGTGGACTCTGAGGCTGATGAGTACAAACTGCATGTGACCGGCTTTGTAGATGGAGGAGCAGGTGAAACAAACTGCAGATGTTTAAATTTCCAGTTTTCAATTGTGTGACCCTAATGATAAAGGAGGAATAGAATGTGTTAGACCATGCATAAAACAATTATTTTTTAAAAAGGTTATTTAAAAAAAAAGTCATTTTAGACGTCCAAATGAAAGTGCCTATAATAAATGTTTCTCCTTTCTGCAGCTCAGACTTTTGGTTATCATAATGGAATGAAGTTCTCCACCTTTGACAAAGATAATTCAGGACAGAACTGTGCTAAAAAATACTCTCAAGGAGGGTTTTGGTACAACGGTTGTGATTATACAAACCCTACTGGTCTGTATTGGTGGGGGAAAGATGATGGCAGTTTGATGAGTGGGCCCTTCTGGTACTACTGGAAGGGCAACTATAAATCTCTGAAGACCGTCACCATGAAGATCAGACGCGTGATGTAGAACAGGGCTTACAAAAGCTTCACTGCAGCTTGTGCACACATCCACAACTTTATGCATGCATGTGGATCTTTCTTAAAATATGCTGAAAAATCAAATCCATTGTCCTTAAATAAAAATGTGTTGAAATTGGGTTCATGACTTTTCGGCATGCTTTGTCTGCTTTGATTTTGAAGCAATAAAAGTTTATGCAAAGCAGTATGTTGTTTTTGTGTGTTTTAAGTATTAACCAACTAAGGAGGCAATACTCATGTGGGCTTCATATATGATTTAAAATAGTTTATTCAGGGTTTCTGCAGATTTTATGAATGTCAATATGTGTAATGTTTTTAGGAGTAAATCAAATTTAAGGACCAATTGAAGGGAACACAATATGTCAATGTGTTCTCTACATATAAATGTCTAGAGAGCAGAACATGAATTGCATTAGCATTAGCAACGGATCTCCATTGTTTTAATTCATTTAACAAAAAAGCTAGAATATGTAAATAACTTCTGCTGCCTTCTGATCACATTGCAAAAAAGTACTGTTCTTCTTCAGTATTCTTGTTTTCCAGTGCAAATAAAGTTTATAGCAAAATGACATATATATCAAATATCCAGGATTAGAAAAAA